CGCTCGGGGCAAGCGGGCACCGCGCCGGGCGTCCGCCGTCCCCTCTGCGTCCCCCACCCCCGTTTTTAGAGGTTTGGAGAGGGATGTGAACTCCGATAACAGTTTCTTGGATCGCGAAAACGTAGCGTGTAGGCAAGGCAGCGCGCCGCGAAGACGCTGGCTGTCATGAAAGACGCGAAGTGTGAAATCGTGCCTCTCCTTTTGTGGAGCAGGCTATTTTTGTAATGCGGCGGGTGTCTTGCTTAAAACGCTTCAGTTACCGTGAGATCGTTGTGCCCTTGTTGCTGAAGCCCCGGCAGCTCCGGAGTAAACCGCGTTTTTCACTCTTTAATAATAAACGTGAGGCAGGGATGACATCTTACTAGAATCACTCTTTAGGATGTTGGAAAGGTTGGGAAATTACAGTGTTGCTGTTTGCTCTAGTTGAAGCCCTGTCAGTGTTTTCGTAATGAAAGCCCATTTTCGAAGACTTTGGAACTGTCGCTAAACTTGTGCATATTTTAATTCGGTATTCTGGGGCTCGAGCTAGAAACAAGTCGGTTTTTTCAGGCTGGGAACTGTCTGAGATTCTGCTGTAGACGGTGGAATGCTCAGCAGTTTGAAGAGGGTGGTGGTGCTTGGGTAAATTGACTTCTTCAGGTATGTAAATACTGAAATTTGAGATAATTGCGTTTGATGAGATGGATAGAACAAAACGATAAGGTTGTGTGTTAAGCTGTTGTCTACGGGGCTGTTGTAGCAACAACCTGAAACTAGTGTTTTAGGAGTCTTTACATCTGACAGGTAGAAATAAAATTCCACTTCAGATGTGGAATTTGTGTTCTTCTAAAAGCCTGTGTTGCCTTTTGTATCCACCCGCCTGCCCCCCGTCACAGGGATCCGGGCACTTGTGCAGCAAAATGGATCGGCGTTGTACTTCCCTGCGGTGTATTGAACCTGTGCTTTCAGCATCGTTTTTCACATTTGACTCTCCAGCTTCAGAGGCTGTTCTGAAGGTGCTCTGCAAGAAATGGAAGGAAGCCGTGACTAATTGGAAAAGTAGAGGATTGAAAAGTCGGGATCATAGGTCTAGTTTTCCTGTTAGTTTGCTCTGTAGCAACTGGACGAGCCGTTCAAACGGATGTACGCCAGTATGCTGAGCTGTCAAGTGGGCAAGAAAGGTCCCTAGCAATTTTGCAGATAGGGTGGTTGTCAAGATATTTAGAGATCTTTTGCAGAAATGTTCCACAGAAGCACAGTGTGCATTTGTGGGCAATGCTGGGCAACTCTGCTGTGTAATTTGTGCTTAAACAACTAAATTTTTTGAAAACTTTTACAATTGTGAGGATTGGATGGGACGGGTGCACACAGAAGGTGCACGACTGATGCACATGCTGGCAGATCCCGACTGGTTAATCATCAGCAATTGTTTATGCCCGGGTATCTCACACTGGGAAGCAGCGCTAGGGCAGGTATTCCTAGTCCTTTTCTGACCTGGAGGCACGTCTCGAGCATGTGTTGGTAGTAATGCCGTGCACACTGGCAGGATGCGCCGGTGGTGTAGGTGGGACATCCTCCTCTCCTTCGCTCTTTGCTTTCTGTCGTTCATTTTGCAGCAAGAAAACATTGGCTGTTCGCTCTTCTGTGCTGGGCATGAAGGAAAGTTAGAGATAGCACCCAAGTTGCTAGCTGAGAATAACGGTCCAAATCTCAATAAATAGGCATTGACATAGGGCTCCGAATATGAGGGGATTCTGGTAAATTTTCGACATTGTAGAAGGCCCCAGAGACTCATTGAAATTAATGAGTTTAATAAAATCCTCGTACTGTATAGCAATTTTGCGTATGTCTTTATGTGCGTGCATAATTAATGACAAAGGGATCTGAAAATAAAACCCTGTGTAGATGATGTGTAGTGTGAAATGTGTGACGGAAGTTGCTTGCCTTTGCTTATTTTAAAACTTTCATTGCTTGATTTTCTGTTCTGAAGTGCAATAGCTATTTTTCTTAACGAGGCTGCAGTGTGATTGCCAGTTAGTTATTTTCCTTAAGGTTTTCTCTAAAAATATCACCAGCCATGAAAAAAAAAAATCAGCCATCACTTTTTTTTTTTCGTTTTAAAAATCCAAGAAGAACAAAAAGAGGTGTTTTCTCATTGTGTGCCTGTGATGTTCTTTTTGGTTAGGATTTCACATACGCACAGATGAATAGGAGACCTCTTAGAGTGTAGCTAAGAGACGTTTATGGCACTAAGCTGAAAAATGAGATGTGTAACATTAATATATGCAAAGTAATAATTTTGGTAGTAATGACATTTTTATGTAATAAACGGTGTAAATTGAATAACATTGTGTGACGTGAACAGAGTCTCTTGTGATTTTAATTTAGGTAGTATGAACATGGTTTATATCGTCAAATCAAAATGTATGTGCCTTTTTACTCGAAGGAATGCTCTCTGAATGACTTCTCAGTTTACAAGTTGCTTGAACATACCTGTGGTGTTTAGCAGATCTGACTTTTGTTTGAAGGCATGCATGCTTCCTTCTTTTACCTCTGAAATTCTGAATTTCCAGCTCGGCTCATTTTGGGTGTGATGGTTGTATGTTAGTGGTTTCTGGGTTGAACTATGTTAGGGGAAATATACCGGTCATTCCATTAATGTGTTGAAGAAAATTTGGATTTAAACTGAAAGCTTTCTCTAAGTCCGAGTTAGTCCTGATGCTTTCAGTGTTCCTCCTGACTACAAATGCTTTAAGAGAATGTGGAAGAGAGTCTTTCTGATACTACAGTTCTTTACTGATATTTGAGGAGGTGCCTAAATGATTTTGTCATAGTAGCTGAATGGACACATTTCTACCCCCAGTAACTCCCTAAGGTTCTCCAGAATAGTGCTCAAAATGCTTATTCAGCTTTTTACAAAAAATGGTCATCATTCCTTTAAATTCAGCCAAAAAACATTAACCTTGGCAGCTGCCTGAATAGTACGCATTCATGCGAAGCTTGCATCAAGAAGATGTAAAATGTATGAATATAGCCAGCTGAGCTGCAATGTGTTAGTTTTGCTTTTTAGTTAGGCAGAAACATCTTTGTAGTGGATTGAAAAGAGCGCTACTTACTGTGCCACTCACTCTTGGAATATGAATTATAGTTTTAAAGCAGGCAAGCAGTGGAATGCATACAAATGCCTTTGTGGCCAGTGATGGACTCGAAGCTCCTGAG